CTATCCATAAAAAATAACCTTACATGTCTTGAAAAGCACCAGGAAGTTTATGTTTCCTTTGCACTCTGTTTGTAGGTACTACAGCGCCACCATTCTGCAGATGTCGGGAGTACAAGATGACAAGTTGGCCATCTGGCTAGTGACTGTAACAGCGTTCACAAATTTCCTGTTCACTCTGCTGGGCGTTTGGTTGGTTGAAAGGGTGGGCAGACGCAGACTTACGTTGGGAAGCATCTTCGGTAAGATACTGATATACTTAAGCAGAATATATTCCAGCACATTTGAAACTTATTTTGGATAACATTTGGGTGCCTTTTTAGCCTTTTTAACTCACTAAAGGGGAGACCAGGGCTAGTCCGCATGCTTGTAATATACAAACAAATGAAACAATTGTTTTGGCCAACAGATTGTTTAAAATGAAAACATATAAAAAGTATTGCACCAATATATATATATATGTATATATATATGTGTGTGTGTGTGTGTGTGTGTGTGTGAAAGATGTACAAGTTCCAAAAATATAGTCCTTGTTACAACTTCCCTGTATTACAACTTGCCCAAGTTTCCACTACATTTTGTGTTATTTGAAATGCTATTCTGAACATTGTGAGATAATGCCAAACTATATCTGTATTCATACATATGTATTTTTAATTCATTCTTTCTGTACAGGTACTGTTTTGAGTCTTTGTATCCTGTCTGTTGGCTTCCTCCTGTCAGCCCAGCATTCTCCTCCTGTTACGCTACATCTTACAGACCCCACAACACCCAACTCCAGCTGCACAACACATCTGTGAGTATGTTTATCTTCTAGAGCTTCTCGCCAATGGCAATATAAATAATTCATAAGTACACTAGGATATAGTACACTCAGTCGCCATATAGTGACAGCTGTCTTGTTATTTGGTGTCTTGTCATTTAGCACGTATCAAAAGTGACTGAAGAGACAGTCCCCCAGAGCATGCATCAGTTCCTAAATGTGCAAGACTTCCTCTGTCAGCCAATTGATGGAGTGTCTTGATCAGCATGGTTTTTCTGCGGAAGTTGGTTGACCAAGGAAGTTAAAGGGATAGTTCACCCAAAATGAAAATGGTCATCATTTATTCATTATCGTGACATTCCAAACCATATGACTTTTTTGAGAAAATGAGAAATTTTGAAGAGGTGACAACTCTTGGTAGAGTGGATTACAAAGAGTATTTGCAGCACTTTTCAAACTGTGGATGGGAGTAAAAATAAGTTGGTTGCAGAAATTGTGAAAATGGTGGAGCGTTCATGTCAAAATATGAAATATATGAGAAGTTCTCAAAAGTTTGTTGGCATAACTTTTAATTGTAAATGTTTTTTTCTCACATGACGCACAACAAGCACTCCTCATGGGCTGCATGCAAAAAATAACATACAGTGTGACCTATGTAGTCTGATTTATGGGCAGATGGCTCTAATGAAACTGTTCTTTTATTGAATCATTCAAAAAGACCACAAACTCTAGAGGTACCGCTTTGAATCAGTTTGATGAATCTTTCACTGAATGAACTCAGAGCAGCTACTGATTCAACTATGACTTCACTTGTCAATGCATATTTTTTTTCAATAAGCCAATATATTCAGTTAATCTGTCTTATAGTAATTAAACTGATAAGAAGGGTACCTACCCAGGGTAATAGTATGACAGGGAGAAAATGTATTTCAAATTCATGTTTCACTCTAAAATGTCTAAAAGTGATGTGTTATACCTATATTATACCTCTCTAGGTAGGTCCTAGCATGGAAAACTTTGAGAACCGCTGCTATAGTGATCTGGGGGATTCATACTGGACTAAAGTGAATATCAAGCCTCTATGGGAGATGCCTGAAAATGAGATGCACATGGACAGCTAAGAGGTTATATAAACACTGTGGAATTCAATTGGTACTTAGGGACCTAATGAATACTGTCAGTCTCCACATCATCCAAATCATCAGCACCACCTGCTAGTACCATTGACCCCAGGCGGATTTCAGGGGCAATATCATCTACATCTATCATCTTTACTGAAGAAATTGAGACTCATCTTAAGTTTCTTAGCAGAAAGGAGAAAAACCTATCATGGACCTAGGCTCCCTGATAGAAGCACCCCAGACTAAATGTTGTCAAGCAAAGGCTATTATACATGAAATACATTTTTGGAGAGTCTCAACACATGATATTGTACAACCTGAACTAACCTAGCCTTGTAATGTAAAGGTAAAATCTGATATTTTAAGACATGTATTGACCTTGACATATAATTGTGAGGGTCTCCATGTTCATCTTTGGTGTCATTTTCTATTTTATGTTTTTTATGTTTATGCACGTTGGTTGCAGCACATTTCTGGTCACCCCACATGACTTTAATTTGATGGACAAAAGATTTTAAATTGCAGTGAAGCAGTTTTGTTGAAAAAAACTGTTATATGTAAAGGAATGTTTAAGTAAAAAAATGAGTATTTTTTTGACCCAACATCCATTTTTTTAAGGATAAAATCAAGTCACATCCTGTATTTTTATTGTTTGAATTATTTCACTCAGAAATATGTAATTCCGGGAAGTATAATGGTTTGCAAATGCCATTTATGGTTGAGTTTAATCTATGTCTAGTTGAAGCTGAGTCCAGTGGAGAACTATTGCTATACTAGTGTCTATATCAACACTCTAATTATGAAATTATACCGCTTCTAAAAGGTTCTTCTTGCTTAAGTCAACAAACAACTTATTGGTCTCCAACCTGAGTGAAAATCAATTTTATGTTAGGCTCTGTTGGTGTGTACGCTGCAGTAATAACTGCTGTGGGTCCAAGCTGCTCGCTGTTCCTTAATGTCACAGTAATAGAGTGTCTGAAGTGTAACCTCATAACAATGACCCCCCCCCATACACACCGCCAAAGCAAAGCATGTTTATTTTCCTGCTAATGGATGCGGAATGGCTGCACTGTCATCACAGCAGCAAACCAATTTGTGCACAGACTGTCTCTCAAAAGCCCTCTCCTCATACATAATGGAATACAGTGTTTAATGGACACACTGTAACTGCCACGCAAGACCCATTGACAATACTTGATGAATATTGAATACGTGTATATTAATGGGATCATAGCTGTGATCTCATAATCATGCATATCTCTAAGCAAGTCATTCATGAAATTTAAAGTTAACATAAAACGGCGTAATTGTGTATGATCATATTACAATGATTTCTGAAGGACTATGTGGCAATGAAGATTTTGCCATCATTGGAATAAATTATATTTTAAAAAGAAATGAAATAGAAATCTGTCATTTTAAAATTGTAATAATTAACTGCTCCAAAAATTAAGGAAACACTTAAAGGTCCCCTGAAATGCTTAGAAACACGCAGCGTTACTCTAGCCGTTTTAGGGGGGCGTGGCAGAGTCTTAACTTTGATAAAGAATATCTCTTTGGTTTTGAGACTTTAGTCTTTGCAACTTCAGGGATCTTATCTATGCACAATCAGCTTGTAACACTCAAAAGAGAAAGGAAAACTTGAAATCGCATCATATGACCCCTTTAACTGAAACAGGAAGACAGAGAGGGACATATCAAGCAGCTTTTTAAAATAGCCAATAGCGTTAGTTTATATCACAGCTTGGGCTAGAGCCGTTCAGGTGGTGGCCACAGACAAATGCTCTCTTCTTATCCTTCCTGACTGATTTGGCTCTGATTTAGTATAGTCCAACTCCTCCAGGATGGCACATCCATATGTGCCGTCACTAGGAAGTTTGGTGTGTCTACCTGTACAGTTTCAAGAGCATGCAGGAGATACAGAGAGACAGGCCGTTACACAGGGAAAGCTGGACAGGGTCATAAAAGGGCAACAACCCAGCAGTAGGACCAGTATCTGCTTCTTTGTGCAAGGAGGAACAGGAGGAGCACTGCCAGATCTTTACAGAATGACCTCCAGCAGGTTACTGTTGTGCTTGTTTCTGAACAAACTGTCAGAAACAGACTCCATGAGGGTGGCATGAGGTCCTCTAGTGTGACCTGTGCTCACAGCCCCAACACCGTGCAGCTTGTTTGGCATTTACCAGAGAACACCAGAATTGGCAGGTCCGCCCCATTGTCTTTATGAATAACAGCAGGTTCACACTGAGCACATGTGACAGACGTGAAAGTGTCTGGAGATGCTGTGGGGAACATTATGCTACCTGCAACATGATCCAGTTGGCCAATGGTGTTCTGGGGAGGAATATCTTCGGAGGGTCGCACAGATCTCCACGTGCTAGCCAGTGGTACCCTTACTGCTATTAGCTACCGGGATGAAATCCTCAGAGTCACTGTCAGACCTTATATTGGTGCAGTATAAGCCCTGGGTTCCTCCTGGTGCATGACAGTGCCTGGCCTCATATGGCCAGGGTGTGTAGGCAGTTTCTGGATGATGAAGGCACTGATGCCATTGACCTCATGTTCTCCAGACCCAAATCCAATGGAGAATCTCAGAGACATTATTTATCGGAGCATCTGAAGCCGCCAAGTAGGTTTTTTTTTTTTACTTTTATTTTCGGTGAGATTTTGAATCCAGCCCTCAATGGGTTGATGATTTTGTCTTTCACTGACCATTCTGTTCTCAACGAATTACACAGTAAAGATTTTCAACTTGACTATTTTGTTCATCGAGATCCAATGTGTAATTTTTGAGCAATGTATTTCACAGTATTTTAAATGTATTTTTGACCAAATGCAGCCTGGTAAGTCTTTCAAAACTACAATAAATATACATAGATTTTGATTTTACTTCCGTAATGATACTTGACGTATTTCTGAGTGAAACATGATTTTCAACAAGAAAAAATGTAGGGTCGGACTTACTGTAATGTTATCCATGAGGAGTTGATTTAATTGTGGAAATTTGACAGGTGGTTTGAAGAAAATGAAAGTTGTTCCAGAGTGCGGTGCAAGTTATTACATTTGAAATATTGTGAATACAATCAACTATTTTTCTTTAGAATAGTGTGCACTGATGAGTCGTGCATAGTAAGAAATTCTAGAAATGTGTATTAAGTGTCACGATTGTCTTGTATAAATATACACACACGGCGAAGACGATGAAGAGGCACAGTCTTTAATAACCCACACGGTAAATTCCAACAATCCAAATACAGAGCAACAGTCCAAACACAACCTTCACATAGACGACACCGGACAACTGAACCAACACAGACCTGAACTAAATACATAATCAAATGAATAACCATGACAACCAACTCAAAGGGAAATGGAAAACGAAGTCCAAACTAAGGCATACTGTGATATTAAGACAGTACATAGGGTCCATTTCGATTTATGTTGACTTCAGATGAGAAGAATTCAAGATCAGTTGGTTGGGTTTTAGTTTTTAAGTAATTTGTCTTGCTCTTACATTACTTTGTGTTTCAGGTCATGCGAGCCCTGTATGTTGGACCCTAGCTGTGGTTACTGTTATCAGGAAAACAGCAGTGCTGTGTTTGACTCCTCCTGTGTGCCCGTCAATCCGGCCTCCACTGAGAGAGCAGCGTGGGGCAAGTGAGTCACCAGTTAAGCAGAGACTCTGTATGCGCAAGTACTTGAGCTGTTCTGTGTATATTTAGGCATATTAATTATTATTATTTTTATTCATTCTACAGTACATAAAGTTATCCAATACTCACCAGATGTAAAAACTGAAATAAAATTTGTCATGTCCTTCAAAATAAGGTTTTTCCCTTCTTGCGACTTATGTTTTTGTATAACATTTTATATTTTTAACACATTCTGTTTCTAACACATTTTAGTTTGTTCATTGTGTCATTACTGTATGATATTACATTTGGTTGAACCTGCGGTGCTTTTTATTTATTTATTTTTAATTTTTGAAAAATTGAAATATTTTGATATTTATTCTTATAACTTATAAAATTCATTGTGTGTTTGTTTCAGGTGCTCCAACTCCACACATCTGCCAGATAGTGTTATATGGGCTTATAATTTTTGCCCAACATCTTATTCATGGGTTGTGCTCCTGGGGCTAGTGCTCTATCTCGCATTTTTTGCCCCAGGTAAGATGATCATAACTGTTTGTAATTAATTCAGCATACATGTTGTGACGAGTGGGGGCGGGGCCAAGAGCCGTGGGAGTGTCGCGAGGCCAGTGGAGTTAATGATCATGAGCGAAACCTGCGCCACTCACCGGTCTCGAGTCCCATGGAGGAGCTCCAGGAGGATAAAAGGAGGAGTGACGACAGTGTGGGACGAGAGAGGACCAGGCCTGATCGACTTTATGTTGTTGTTTTATGCGGCAGTCGTCAGTGAGGGGCTGCCGCTTTTACTTTTGTTTTGTGTTTGTTTATTTATTAATTAAAGTTTTATGTTTAAATGTTCGCCGGTTCCCCCCTCCTTCTTCCTGGATCTGCGAACTTTGTTACAATGTTCATAGATCGGGAAGAAGGAGGCGGGAACCGACGAACATTTAAACATACAACTTTAATAAATAAACACAATACGAAAGTAAAAGATAAAACATAATAAAACAACAACATAAAATGTCCAGGCCTGGTCCTCTCTCATCCAACACTGTAGTCACTCCTCCTTTTATCCTTCCGGAGCTCCTCCGTGGGACTCGAGACCGGTGAGTGGCGCAGGTGTCGCTCATTATCATTAACTCCACCGGCCTCGCTCCGCTCCCACGGCTCTCGGCCCCGCCCCACTCGTCACACATGTATTTTAATTTTGGAAATGAGAAAAAAATATCTGAACTGGAGGATTTTCATGATGATCAGTTCTATTTTCAGTTTGTGAGTAATTCACATTATTATTATTATTATTTTGCAGCATTACATTACGAGCCAGGCTTTTTTTATAAATTTTTTTGAGTCAAAAACATATAACACAGCAGTGCCAGAAGGCACCCGCAATCCTTCACCATTGTGCCATTCAGCAAGTCATATAACCACAGGTTGCTCTGAGGGAATTATACATATAATATATTCATTGTGACATTGCATTAAGGTCATTTAAAACACTTTCACCTCTCGACAGGAATGGGACCAATGCCATGGACAGTTAATTCTGAAATCTACCCTCTTTGGGCCAGAAGCACAGGCAATGCTTGTTCGGCTGGGGTGAACTGGACCTTCAATGTCCTGGTGTCTCTAACGTTCCTCCACATGGCCCAGTACCTGACTTACTATGGTAATGCTCTAATTAGTTGAGCGACAGCATTCATGACCATGACCTTTTTGTCATCATCAATACGGTATTTGATCTCTCAACATCAAGATTATACTACGCATATAGGCATTGTAGAACTAATTATGTATATGACTCAGTATTAATTTCCTCTGGAAGTGAACAACTCCATGTGCAAATTAATATTCTAAATACACTTTCCTGGAATTGCTGTTCATGATTCATCAGTGCACGTTTCGGAAAAGAGTAACTTTTTGCATCTTTTTAATGTTAGTTATTAGAGAATTATATATATATATATATATATATATATATATATATATGAGCTACTACAATTCTGACTAG